TTTTTTTTTTTAAAGGAAAATAACTCAAAAAAATAAAGTAAAAGCAATGACCAGGAATAAAAATGGTATACTAGGAGCACCTGGGTGGCTCACTTGGTTAACTCTTGCCTCCTGATTTCAGCTCAGGTCATGATCTCAGTGTTGTGAGATCAAGCCCATGTCGGGTGGGGCTCCGTGCTGGGTGTGGAGTCTGCTTAAGATTCTCTCTCCCTCTCCTTCTGCCTCCCCCCCCACCCTTTAACAAAATGGTACACTAGAAAATATTTATTTAACACAAAAGAAGACAGTAAAGGAGGAAGAGAGAAACAAAAAAGATATAAAATGTATATAAAAGAGCAAAAGACAGTCATAAACTCTATCTTAATAAACTAGTAAGTGGTTCAACAGTCCAAATAAAAGGCAGAGATTGGCAGAATGGAATAAAAACACATGCTTCAACTACAGGCTATCTACCATAGGCACACTTTACCAAGCCACAAATAAGATTGGTAACAAAAGGATAGAAAAAGATATGCCATGCAGACAGTAACCAAAATATAGCTGGTGTGGTTATACTATTACCAAAGTATACTTTAAGACAACAACTGTTATTAAGAGACGAAGAAGGACATTTTTGTTTTCCATCGTGCTAACAGATGGCATAAAAGTTACCATTTTTAAGTGTACAGTTCAGTAGTGTTAAGTTACATTCACATTGTTGTAAAACATCTCCAGAACTTTTCTATCATGCAAAACTGAAACTCTATACCCATTAAACAACAACTCCCCTTTTCACCTTTTTCCCCCAGCCCTGGCTACTACCGTTCTACTTTCTGTTTCTATGAATTTGTCTGCTGTAGATTCCTCGTAAGTGCCATCACAGTATTTTCCTTTTTGTGACTGGTTCATTTCACTTAGCATGTCCTCCCAGTTTATCCATGTAGTAGCATGACAGGATTTCCTTCCTTTTTAAGGCTGAATAATATTCCCTTGTCTGCATATACCACATTTGGTTTATGCATTCATCTGTCGATGAACGTCTGGGTTGCCCCCATCTCTTAGCTATTGTGAGTACTGCTGCTATGAACATAGGAACACAAATACCTCTTCAGTACTCTGCTTTCAATTCTGGAGATCTTCCCAGAAGTGGAATTGTTGGATCATATGGCAGTTCCTTTTTTTTTTTTAAGATTTTATTTATTTTGAGAGTGAGCAAGCGAGTGCACGCAGGAGTAGGGGCAGGAACAGAGGGAGAAGGAAAGAATCTCAAGCAGACTCTGCACCAAACCCAGAGCCCAACCTGGGGCTCGATCTCATGACCCTGAGAGCATGACCTGAGCTGAAATCAAGAGTCAGATGCTTAACCGACTGCACCATCCAGATGCCCCAATCATATGGTAGTTCTGTTTTTGATTTTTTGAGGAAACTTCATATTGTTTTTCATAGTGGCACCATTTCATATTCACATTAACAGTGCACAAGGGTTCTAATTTCTCTACAACCTCACCAACACTTGTTATTTTGTTTTTTACTGTTTCCATCCTAATGGGTGTTAGGTGACAAAGAAGGACATTTTATAATAATAAATGAATCAATCCATCAATAAGGTAAAATAATAAACTTGTACATGCCCAACAGTGCATGAAGCCCCAAAATATATGAAGCAAAACTGAGAAATAAAGGGAGAAATAAACAATTCAATAGTAATCGATGGAAACTTCAATACCCACTTTCAATACCAGATAGAACATTAGGTTAAAAGATCCAACAAGGAGAGGAGACTTAATGCTAAAAATCAACCAGAACTACAAAACATCAAGAAAACACTCAATCCAACTAGAGCAGAATATACATTCTTCTCAAGTGCACATGGAACATTCTTCAAGATAGACCTTACATTCAGAAATAAAACAAATCTCAGTCAATTAAAAAGGCTGAATCACAGAAGACTACTCTCTGATCAGAAAAGAATGAAAGCCGTAAATCTTGACCTTGGATTAGCCAATGGCCTCCTAGCTATGATACCAAAAGCATGAGCAATAAAAGATAAAACAGATAAATTGGACTTCATCAAAATAAATAACTTTGTGCTTCAATGGACACTATCAAGATAATGAAAAGACAACCCACAGAATGGGAGAAAGTATTTTCAAATACTTTGAAAGAAAGTATTATCAAATATGTTTGATAAGGGACTTGTATCTAGAATATATAAAGGATTCTTACAACTCAGTAAGAAAAACACAACCCATTTTTTTAAATGGGCAAAAGATATGACATTTCTCCAAATTACATATACAAATTGCCAACAAGCACACGCAAAGATGCCTAATATCATTAGCCATCAGGGAATGTAAATCAAAACCACAATGAGATATCATTTCATACTCACTAGGAAGGCTATAATCAAAAACACAGACAATGACATTTGTTTGCAGGATGTGGGAAAATTGGAACTATTCTACACTTCACCCCTGGTGGCAAGTAAAATGTGTAGCTGCTGAGGGAAACAGTCTAGCAGTTCCACAAAAGGTTAAACACAGTTGCCGCACAAACCTAACAGTCCCTCTCGGGGGTATTACCCATGTGAACTGAAAACATATATCCACAGAAAAGCTTGTACACAAATAATCACAGCAACGTTATCCGTAACAGCAAAAAGTAGAAACCCAAATGTCCATCAACTGATGAATGGATAAACAAAAAAGAGAATATTACTCAACAAGAAAGAGAACTATTGATACATGCCACAACAGAAAACTTGAAAAGATTATGTAAAGTAATAGAAGCCAGTCACAGAAGACCACATACTGTATAATTCAATTATATGAAATATACAGACAAGGCTATAGAGTCATCAAGTAGATTAGTGGCTGCCTAGGGCTGAGGGATGTGGGAGCAAATGGGGAGTGACTGCTAATAGGCACGGCTTTCTTTTTGGGGTGATGAAAATGTTCTAAAATCAATTGTGGTGATAGATGCGTAAATGTGAATACTACAAATCATGAAATTGCACACTTAAATGGGTGAATTATATCTCTACAGAGCTCTTCCACTAAAGAATAGAAACACAATGCCAGCACAGTACCTTTCTGTTAAGTTTTCCTCAGTGTAGAAGCACTGCGGGGAACAAGTGGGCATGTCCTCTCCCTTCTACATAAGTATTAACAGACAACGGGATACCTAAGGACTTTCTTGTGATTCCCAAACTTCTAAAGAATTAAAAAATAAATTACAGTAACAAACTCCCTCAAAAATACTGTGTCAGGATAAGAGAGGTCAGTATTTATTCTATTTACTGCAGATGAGCCAAACTTTATCTCATCTGACACAGATAATGAAGACTTAAAAGTGTTGTTATGATCTATTTCTCACTTTTTAATTTTACAGGTTAATCCATATAGCCGTTTACTACGAGTATGTACATATAAATGAGTATGTCAGAAAAAAACATGTTTTATAAGCCTTAATGTATGACATTGTATTTTGGTTTGAGATTGTTTTTACCATGTACAGATGAATCTTCATCAGCAAACAGATATGGTTCTATTTCTTTCAAGGAACTTCTACCTTCAAGTCGGCCAAGGAGCTTGCAAAAGAAAAAAAGAAGAAAAACTCATTACTTAAAAATATAAAATCTTAGAAATCTACATTTACACAATTTTCCAAAAGTCTATAAAAAAGACTAATTTAGTCTTGAGGATATGGAGGAAATTATGAAACAGGAAAAATTATGTTCGTTTATTCAGAAAACATTTCCTTTTTTGTTTATCTATCAAATACTGATGGCATAAAATGAGTTCCTGCCCTCAGAAGAACTGATAGTATAGTTTGGGAGATAGGACCAAACTGCTAATTACAAAGTATTTACCTTTCTTATGTGTTCCAATTTTCTCTCTCACTATACTTAATACACTTGTTATACATATACCAGCTTTTAATCTGTCCGCCTATTATACTGTCAATTCCTTATCTAGTAGTGGGAGGGGACAAAGGAAGAGTGGAGAAAAACTGCCCTTGAAGAGCTCCCGCCGGGATTTGTTGGGTAAACAGAGCACAGGTGTGACCATAGCCAGGGTGCAGAGGCTGTTACTCCGCATGTAGGTGAACTGTAAGCAGATTCACCTGCTAGAGCTTGTAGCACAAAACAGGAGATACAGAAGTGCTAAGAGCAGAAGTCAGATCATAGAAGGCCCTACATGCCATGTTTAGGAGCTTTTTCTCTGGTTTGTAGACAAGAGCAAGGGATTGTAAACTATGTAGTGAGAAGCAGTCTAGAATAGTTACAGTAGACAGTTGGGACTTCAGAACCAGACCTGCTAGCTCCCTCCTCTGGGCCTCAGGTCTCTCATCATTCAAGTGATAACAAACAGAATCTCCCCTCCCACAGTTGTTGAGGATTCAGGGTATTAAAAAAAGTGCTTGACATAGAGGAAGCACTATGTTAAGTACAGCACAAGCTAGCATCATCTGCATTTCAAACAGATTATCTTGGTGGCTAGCAGGGAATGTATCTGAAAGTAAAACCAGATATGCAGAGTAAGCTGGAGTCTGTCACACTAATCTGGAGGAGGAATGCCCGCACCAAGACAATAGTTAGGATGACAGCAAGCAGAACTGCATGACTGATTTAAATGTCAATGAGGGACATGTAATCAAAGATATCAAAGCTGATTCTCAAGTGTGAGAAATCAGCACAGATTTGACCACTCTTCCAAACAACAAAAGAGAAAAAGAGGGAACAAAAGCAGTCACTCTACTGTTTTTTTTTTAACTGAAGCGAAGGTTTTGAAAAGATTTCCTGAAGTGATGAAAGGGTTCTATACATTAATTTAGCAAATGTTTATTGAGTTTCTGTTACATACAATGCACCATGGCAGGTAAAATGCAGACTACAAAGATGAAGACAACCTACCCTCAAAGAACTTGCTGTAACCGTCCTCTGGGAGATGATATTTTATTACAAAAGAATGTAAAGCACTGCTCACTACACCAGAGACACAGCGCGCCGTTAGCAAAGATTGGGCAGGCGTATCCGAGGTTAAAACTCTCCTCCTAAGTATTCAGACACGATCGTTCTCGCTGAGTTGACACCTGCACTGACAGTGGACCAGTGGAGGCGGGTGAAAATGCTGGCCCAACCGCACAAGTGGCACCAAACTGTCCCAGCACACACGGCGTTCCTCACCACTCACAGAAAAAATGCAAAACCAGCAAAACTAGTTTTTCATAAGAATGCCTTTGATGAGGCGGCTAAAAGTATTAGTTCTCTTAAATCATGACCCCTGAATACTTTTTAAAATCATTGTGATGACACAGGCCGCATACTAGCAGTAAAGAATTTAACCTTGATCAGAGAGGTCTGGCTTTTGCCCTTGGCCCCTGGGAAGTCATCTCCAAGTCTCCTGGAATATCCTGCCTGATCAAAGTATCTTTGTTTACCAGGGAACCTTCCGCCACACCAGACAGTCTAACAGTGTGACTTAGGGTTGGGGCTTTGGATCAATTTGACCTCTGGTCTCAGGGGGGCCAGAGAGTGAGCTGTGTCTACATGAGAGAGCCCCAAGAAGATGCTGGACACCAAAGTTCAGGGGATCTCCTGTGGTTGGCAGACCATCACAAACTGTTGCTGGGAGAACTGAGCACCATCCACAACTCCACCAGGAGAGGACGACTGGAAGGTCTGCATTTGGAATTCTCCTGGACTTTGATCCATTACATCTCCTCCTCTGGCTGCTTTTAAATCTGCATCCTTTCCTTGCAGTAAACCATAACCATGAATATAAGTGCTTTCAATGAGTTCTGTGAGTCCTTCTACTGAATTGCTATACCTGAAGGTGGTCCTGGGGACCCCCCAATTTGTAATTAATATCAGAGTTGAGTGTAGTCTTAGGTATCTAACTCTGCAGTTTGTGTCTGAGGTAAAGTCAGCTCTGGGGGACGTCCCCAACTTCACACACAGATGAAGGACTTCTCCAAAATGAAATGCAATCATTTTGTTTTGCTTTGTTTTGTTTTCTCTAGGAAAAGCACTTGTGTTGAATATTTGAGTTGGATGCTTTTTTCAGTCGGCTACCCTTTTATTTGAAAGAACAACTAAAAGACAAACTTTGATTATACAGACTTTGGTATTTGGCATTTTGTTGAAAACAAAGAAAGTAAGCTTGTCACTTCAAGAAAACTGACAGTATTTGTTGCCAATGATAACATCTGAATTTTGGAAAACTCATCCACCACTGTGACCTTGACAGCTTTCCAAAACTTAAGGTCCGTTTTGGTGAAGTCACCAGTGTTTTAATGAATGTGATTTTTTTAAAAATAATTATTTAACAAAACACGCCAATACTTGAAAGATCTGTGTAATTCAGTGAACCAGTATCTCCAAATGACCAATGCATGATGTTAAATCAGTCCTGGTTAATAAAATATTCACTCCAAGTGTTAGACCAATCAGTGATTTTAACATATGAAGAAAAGTCACTGATGTAATTTTATAGTCTACGTTGCAATTAACTTTTAGGAAACTACTATCTTGTCAAGTTTTGGTACAGAATCAAAGAAGAAAACCCACAATTATCTAAAAAGACCTTCAAATACTCCTCCTTTTTCCAACTATATGTATCTGTGAAAGCCCAGAGAGTCTTCATGTACTTCAACCAGAACATACAGTAATAGACTGGATGCAGAAGAGATGAGAACCCAGTCAAGTTCTATTCAACCAGACATTATAGAGATCTGCAAATATGTAAAACAGTGTCACTCCTCACATTTTTTGTTTAGGGAAATAACTATTTTTCATTAAAATATTTAATAACTCAAAGGGATTATAATTGTCACTTGTATATGAATGTAAATATTTAAAATTCTAAATTTCTCATGCGGCTCTCTCTCTGGAGCTCGCCTGCTCTGGAGATCTTGCGAGTGTATTTTTCGCTTTAATAAACCTTCTCGCTTCTGCTATTCAATAAATAGATATAACCCACATAAACAAAAGCTCTTGGTGACAGGTACTAACTGCACTTACTGTGGTGATCATTTAGCAACATAAATATCAAATCATGATGTACACCTGAAACTAATATAATGTTTTAACTATTATACCACCAAAAAAAAAACCCACAAAAAAATGCACAAAAGCTCTTTAAAATCCTCAATAATTTTTTTTTAAAGATTTTATTTATTTATTCATGAGAGACAGAGAGAGAGAGAGAGGCAGAGGGAGAAGCAGGCTCCCAAGGAGCAAGGAGCCCGACGTGGGACTCGATCCCAGGACTCTAGGATCATGACCTGAGCCGAAGGCAGACGCCCAACCATCTGAGCCACTCAGGCGCCCAAAATCCTCAATAATTTTTAAATGTGTAATGCACTCCTAAAGCCAAAAAGTATGAGAACCACTGAGTTAGAAGATGGAGTCCAGCTTGAAGGACAAGAAAGAAACTTGCAGGGACAAGATAGAACACATACAATGACTTTAAAATGTTTTAAAAAGCATGTATACAAATAACTATCCTCATCAGAATG